TAGCGCGTGTTTAGTTTCAACAAGTTGGAATTTAGGGCTACCGCTGCATTTTCGTTTTTATTTGGCAATTAGTATTCAAATATGGACTAATTAGGCTCAAAACGTTCGTCTCGTAATTTTCCACAAAACTGTGCAATTAGTTTTTTTTTATCTACATTTAATGCTCTATGCATGGACCGTAAACATTCGATGTGACAGGTACTATAGCACTTTTTAGGATTTTGGGGTGGAACTGAACCAGCGCTTAGCTTCCTTTGTGATTTCGATCTCTCTAAATCGGAAAGTTTCAAACTAGGACATATGCATCCTTGGAAAAAGGGTACCACCGGTCGTATACGACTAGCTGGCAATGTGAAGAAATAAGAAAATGTACATAGACTTTTGCTTGGCAGTTGGCACACCATGCGGATGCAGAGATGGATGAATTATCTCCCATTTCTACATATTTATAGTATTTTAGTATGCTGATCCATCAACTTTAAGCATCCTTGGTGTCGTGGTGTAGTTGGTTACCACGTCAGTCTAACACACTGAAGGTCTCCGGTTCGAACCCGGGCGACGCCAATTATTTTTGTCAATCTTTTTTTAAACAGATTCACCTTCTGGTACAATCTGCTTGATCCGGCCGCACCTATTCGTTCAATGAATTTTCCTGCTTACTTAATTCCTTTTTTTATTTATGCAACGCTACTATTGCAACTAGCTAGTTTCCTACGGTGCCGGGCTCTTGTTGATAGGTGCAACGGTGCAAGTGTGCATATGCAACATGGAACCATAGAACCTGAAGCAAATCGATATATGGTAGCACAAGTTGGACCTGACAAGTACCTGGAAGATCCCACGGCTCGCACTTGTTGAGGTCGACGTCCACCATGGCGATGCCGCTGTACGCCGCACCGCCGCCGCCGCCTTTGCCCGAGAGCTTGCGGCAGAGGTAGCCCAGCACGAGCTCGTCGTCCCTCGGGTGGAACCGGAACCCCGGCGGCAGCCGCGCCTCCATCGTGCTGATCAAGCTCATGATGGCTTTCCGAGCCTGTAGGCTACTGACACACACACCCTGTCGCGCTTGACGACGTACGCTTGGGAGCTGGGAGCGATAGATAGATAGAGAGGGAGAGGCAGAAGAACAGGGAAGAAGAAGAAGAAGAAGAAGAAGAAGATGGTGGCGTCTTCAGCAGTTTCAGTCTTTCAAAGCGCAGGATGGGGCTGGGTATAAACAGGGAAATCTTGGCAAGGGCCCGTTTCCGAGCATGTCGCAAAGGGTTGGCACTGTTGGTATCTGGTAGTACTAGCCGAAGTCACACGACAGGGAGGCGGTGTGCCCGACGGCCATGTCCCTCGGTTACTTTTCGGCACAAAAAGAAAACAAATCCACGTCACCCATGACCATGATCCCTGTTCCAATTCCAATACGGCTGTACATGTATCATGTATGAGCCGAGCCTAGCTAGGGATGTGCACTGTGCTTGCATACGTACAGAGGTATCTCTCCTCCCTCCTGCAGTGTGCCGTAACGTCTGGGATACGTACAGACTCATTAGACTGCGTCCTTGCGCCGTTCATGCGTCACTTGTTCAGTTGACAGTTCAGCCTAACAAGGAAAAACTACTGCGACGGAACATGTGACAATACATAATAGTACGCGTTAGCAAATTGAAGTCGTAGAAATCCACGATTCCAGGATGCCGCAAAGGACGACGACGTGTTCGATCATGTGGACCAAAGACGTTATCAGTGTCATTCATATAGCAACTGATAATGCTTGCCAGCCATCATGATTCAGAGGTAACATCACGCCCAGTCCAATTCCAAACTGCAGCTTTCGATGGACCACCCGTCATGTCAGATGTAAGTGTAACCGTGCCCGACGACGACGACCGCTGGCGTGGCCGTCGCGGTGGCACTGTGGCAGGGAGCCAGCGTGCGAACGCCACCATGTCCGCGGCGTTCGCCGCCGCTGGATCGGCGATCCACGCCACTGGGCAACGTGTGGAAGTCGTGCTCCAGCGCCGGCATCCCTGTCCTGCTGTACTCTTTAGTCTTTGCATATTGCATCCCTGATGGCACAGGGCCGGAGAGAAGACGACGCGTCTCTTTTCGACGACGGCACGAGATGATTGATTGCTCAGGGGATCAAGCGATGAGGCTCATCTCTTCTTACAGGCGGTCACAGGCGCAGAGCTCCTATCTTATCTTGCATGCTTCCGCCACGCTGCCCCCAAGGCTCCAACTCTCCAAGAGCCAAGAGGTTAACTTATTACTTATGACTCGCTGACGCGTTCACGATGACATACTGCATACACCGTGGCAAATTGCTGGCTGTATAGCTCATCATCAAGTTAGGCATGGAATGATGCGTGGTCGGTTTGGCCTATCCATTTTTTTTCCCGGGAGGGAAATCGATATTCGACGGGGGTAAAATTGAAAGTTCTAGGAACTCCTCATGGAACATCAGATCGTCGACGGAGATGTCTCCGTCGATCAGAATAGCAGCTTCCTCACCAGAGAATTATTCCAAATCTGCCCAACAAACACTGTCTTCTGACAGTGCCGAGATGTCGCCGATGATGTCTGCACACCCGCATGTTTCAGGGCATCAGCGGATGTCGATGTACTCATCGCGTCGGCCTCGAGAAAACTTTCACAGTTTAGTGTTCTCTGACCTGCCGGACCATGTCAATCACTTTTACGTTCAGCAACTTCCAACTGCGGGAGGGAGTTTAATCTGAAGTGGTTTCTTTTTATGGTCCAGAGGGGAAATGTTTTAAAATGGCATTGAAAAGGAGAGGAGCAGTTATTCAAATGATATCGATGGCAATGATGTATGCAAATCACAAATGCGGTCGACGAGAGAATTCCAAAACGGATTTATGCTTAATATATTTAATCAGCTTTTGGTTGATTCTGAAGATTTCAAATGCTACGTTTTCAGAGGTCTGGAATCCGGAGTAGGGCAGTTGACAAGGCCCTACCTTCTACTTGGTAGACAGTTGAAACTAGCAGCATCAGCAGCTACCTTTTTTTTCAGTGGGAAGTAGTTAAAACCTGTAAAGTAGAATGGCAACTTGTCATAGTTGATACTAGGTTTGTTATCACAACTTGTTGCTTAATGTATTTTAATAACAATCAGAACTCTAAAGGCTGCTTCAGACGATTGGAGGTACCAGGATGACAACTTGTGCTGTTATCACAACTTGTTACTTAATGTATGTAACAATCGTAATTCTTAAGGCTGCTTCAGGTACCACGATAACAACTTGTTATAGCCGTTACTAGATCTCTAGATCTGTTATAGCAACTTGTTACCTATATGTTTGAAAATTCAGAAGGCTGCTTCAGCAACAAATATACAAAAATGCTATTGTGAGGTGGGCAGCAATAATCCATCTCAATGAAGCTGAAGTTTGAACGCAAAAGCCTGAAAATTAGACCTATGGGAAAGTCTACTCTCCCAATCAAATCAAACTAACAGCGGCTTTCGCCATCGGATTCGGTAGCGCACGCACGGGCAGAGAGCAGACTTATCCTGCGAAAAAAATCAAACAAGAACATGTGGAAAATCGCATGTACCGTACTTGGTCTCGTTAGGACTTTCTGAGCTCCTGATCACCTGGTACTGATAAGCAGTTAGGTTTGTCCGGCCTTCTCCACCTCGAGAGATAGTCATGTCGGTCTTTTTCAGGGAAGGAAAATTCTGTGAGGCGGATTTCACCAAGAAGGCCTATCCAAGTCCAAGGTCACTACTCTGCCAAAGTCAAAATTTCACAGGTGGCAGATGCAGCTGGAGCAGGTTTGGGTAGCACAATCGTGATAGATACACCTGAACTGATCCATGTCATCTGTGGTGGTACCATTAACGCTGTCAAAGACGTAAGTAAGATCTCTCCCTGATGCGTTTCTGGTTTTCTTCTCTGAAATGTTATGACTTGAAACAGCTTCAGCAAGACCAGATATCACTGCCATCGTGCGGTATCCAATCGTTGTGCAAGCTTGACGAACGCAGTGAGGCAAGGCTCCTAGGATTGCTTCCAGCTAGCTAGGCAGTAGGCAGCTACTAGCATCTCCGCGGCTGTTTTTTTTTCCATGGAAAACAGCAGGAGGAACATGCTGCCAAAATTTCTGCATGCTGATGCTTCTTGGTGATGTGTAGTTGTATACTGTGGTGCGTGAAACGCGATCTGACGATCAAGTGAGTAAGTCGAATTTTGTGAAGCACATGCTTCTGAAGGAGACGGAGATAGATGGATCAAGTTTCAGTCTCCAAGATGCTGAAAACACATCATGATTCAGAGCTGCTTCTTCCCCTTTTGCCACTTCCATTAGGGGCATGTTTGGTTTGCGAAATTTTTTGCGAAATGACACTATAGCATTTTCGTTGTTATTTAGCAATTAGTGTTCAATCATAGTCTAATTAGGCTTAAAAGATTCGTCTCGTGGATTTCGTCTAAACTGTGTAATTAGTTTTATTTTTTATTTATATTTAATGCTTCATGCATGCGTCCAAAGATTCGATGTGACGGGGAATGTTGAAAATTTTTGCAAAATGAAGTGAACTAAACTGGCCCTACGACACTGGACATGGCACTGTTACTGCCCCCGTTTTCAAGTCATTAAAGCGTGAGGCATCGAGGCAACTTCTCCCGTGAATTTCAGATAAGACTGAGAGTACAAATTTAGCACATGCTGAAACAGCGTG